ACAACGAAACAAAAATAAACAACGAAAATACTTCTGAAAAAAATAATAATAAAGGCCAACAATGAAACTGGAAGAAACACATGGAGTGAAAAAGAAGAAAACAAACAAAAACAAAAACGGAGTAAAAATTGCCGAAATGTCACACAGTTCGTTATTTAAAAGCACCATGGCAGCGGCCAAGTCATAAAATCACAAGCCAACATCTGAGAGAGTACTCGGCTTGGCGTGTGTCTATGCAATGGCAATTTGAGAAAATGAAAATTGAAATTCGTGATCGGTTCGGTTGTGAGTGAGCGCGCGCGCGGCACTATGATAAACACTTTTAACAAATTTGAATTAAGCGTCCAAAGCCGAGGAAGAAAAAAAATATTGAACACGATCCACTGGAACATACACACATTCTTTGTGGCAAAAGCAGCTGAACGCGCGCGCGCACGACCCAAAACAACCGATACACAAACGAAATTCAATGAGCCATATTTTCTAAACTTTAAAAACGAAATAAAACGATCGAACGGTCTGGTAAAAAGAATCAAAGCAATAATGCGCAGTCTTGTATGCGACCAAAACAAACCAACGGAGCGCTTGCACATACTAGTGGAAAAAGTAAACGAAAACCCAAAAGCAACGGCAACAGCAACAATGAAGCAGGGCGAACACACTGTCGAAGCACACCATACTGAATATATTGTGGCACACTCCTTAAAAATGTATGGTAGACACTAAATAAAATAGCGCATAATAAATGCGGCTGTCTGGCCATGGCACACGATAACAATCAAAATGTGACTGAGAAATAGTTGTTAGTTTGTTACCAGATTTGTTTTTCCATTTTATTTTTCTTGCATCTTTCGTTGCTGTCGTCGACATATTCGCTCTTGCTCTTTCACTCCGTCGCTGTGTTCGATTCGGTCATGGCGAAAAGCAAATGTTTGTTCTGCCGTGTTTGTGTGTGTTCGTGTGTGATGGATGAAGTCAGGGCTCCATTTGTTGCACTTCATAAATATGAAATTATGGAAAATGTATAAAATCGAGCTGAATCGATACAATCAAAAATAATCCCATGAGTGTTTCCAACTGTGGCAAAAGTTTTCGTTGCGTCAAAATCCCGATGGGAAAACCAAGCACAGCAAAAATGTTCCCTGCCCTCGGAAAAGTACATTGTTTGCCAGAATGACAGTACGTGCGCGCCAAAAAGGTATCAATAAAACGACAACAAGGCAATCGACGCGAATGTATACCATAACTTCATTGAGTGGCATCGATCTCTGTGGCGTTCGATGCTTGCCACAACACCGAGCCACGCTCAACACAAACGAATATCGATCCGTATTTAAGAGTCTGTCCAAATTGCTATTGCAGCACATTACCAGATGGATTGAGAGAGTATTTATAAGTTAACGCTGTTTGGCTGGCAATCGATACTGAGCAGCACAAGCGCACGCTCTCGAGCGCATGTTGCGAGGAAATTTGTCGATTGTTTTTTTTTCTTGCTCTCTACCTTTTTGCCTAATGATTGTGCCCGTGCACAACGCGACGACGATGCTCTGCATTGAACAATGAACGTGGTAGATGAACGTGTCCGATCCAATTCATTACATCAAACGAGGCGTACGTGTTGCTGCTGCTGCTGCTGCAATGGCTTTATGTGCAGGCAAACTAAGACCAAGAAGAAATGCATACATCGTCCACATTGAACATTTTACAAAGTCAAAGCAAGATTGTACGGCATAAATAATCATTACCGATCGTTACAATAAATGCCAAATGCGGAATGGGCTTCCTTTTTAAGACGAAAATCTCCCCAGTAAAATATACAATTAAATCAAATGTTGAACAGTTGAAGCATGCATATATATGTTCCCGTTTTGTTGTTTTGCTGTTGCTGGTGAATATTTGAATTTGTTTGCTTATTATCGCCAAATTTTTCGCATTAGTTGAATGAAATGGAAACTGACACGGTGGAATCGGTGGTGTATTTAACTTTAAATGATTTATTACTATATATGAGTCTTGAAAAGGGGAAAATTGAAAATTCCACAACAAATGATCCAATAGTTTGCAATATATGCCATTAAAATGCGTCTAATTGATAGCTTTCTCGTTGATCGACGCACACATTTTGTATACAGCTGTAATTTGCGTGCATAATCATTGGCATATCATGGCGGCGGTGTTTCATTTGGAAATTTTCGATACTTTACTCGAATTGCGTCGACGTCATTTTTTTTTTATAATCTCAACAAATTCAACCTAATTGCAAATGGTATTTCCACTGATTTCTTTCGACCATCGGTCTAGCTTGCAATACATTCCATCGGACGCGCCGTTATTGAACGAGACAAAAAAAAAATTGTTAATAAATATTTATTGCAATGGTTTTCATGTATATTTTTCTATATCAAAATCATTACGTGCGATGGATAATTACTATTTTCATCGAAAAGCCATCCGAATAATTCATAGAATTTCGCAGAATATCACGCTACTTTTGACCCAAACGCCACATCAAACTTTTTCTTGCCACTCACAAAAAGGTAACACGTTGCCCGAATGTGTAATACAAATATGGCAATCATTTTGGAATCAAAACCCAAAATTGCAATGCACTTGCGTGATTTTTCAAAACGACCGAGAACTGACGTCACTGCTGCCGCCACCGTTGTCGATTGGATTTTGAAAAGGCACTCTTTGGTATCAGGCAACAGCTGCACGCCGGCTCATTTCAACGCAAAAAAGAGATTTCATGAAATCGATGCATTGAACTCGATTCAGCGCCAATTTCGCCCATACTAGCAAATGAGAGAGAGCGAGTGAGAAAAAAAAGCGATTCGAAATAAATTATGAATCAAACTACATTTAACTGACCATTGGAGCAAATTGCATAATGGTTCGTGTTGGAATCGAAACCAATACACATTTTAGGCGCGTTTATTCGAAAATCACGAAAATGATCCCAATAAAATGGCAGTGGACATTGGACGAAACAGTGTGTATCGAGAGCCAATAATGCTCAAAAGCAATAGCAAATTGCAAGATTTCAAAACATCTGTCGCGAGCGTACCGTTTTGGTTTATGTTTGATTTCCACAGAAATCACCATCACCAAACGAAACACATGCGATGCTACGAAATGCACGAACGGCAAGCGAATGGTTGGATCCAACTTGGATGTGAAATGGAGAGAAGTGGCCAAACCGAAGAAGTCGAAGATTTGTTTTTTTTTCTCTTGTCAACCAAACTGATTTTTGGTGTTGCTACTCAAAGCAATTTGTTACAACAACATAATTACGATTGTTCCACTTGTTTGTTCATTACCGGTATTAAACATAAACATAATCCTCATCGAAGCGAATCGCAAAAGAGGCAAAACAAACGGATAAAACAAAAACCATTAAACACATTAATCACCAATGCAAACACATTGCGTAATCCATAAATAGTTATTGTAGTGATTAATTAATCTGTCTCGATTGGCATGTAATGCGGAAAGAGAGAAGCAAAAAAGCCAACCATTGTGGCGCACTTGAATTGTTGCACTTTTATTTATGGTGTGCTTTTCCTTCTAAGAGACAGAGAAAAAAAACCCAACAACAAATCGATAACACCAAAATTGGGTCAATAGATCGTTGCCTACTTTGGGTTTGGTCTCTTCGTGTGTGTTATTGGTTGTTTCAACCAAATTGAGTGTAACAAATTGACAATTTAATTCGGTGAGATGAGATTTCAATTGATTGCTTTTCGCACATATACAAATATCGATCGAATTTTTTGATCCACCGTGAACAATGCAATATTTCTCGCAGCTGGCGACCAATATTGCTCGCTCTCATAAAGAAAGCATGATGATGTGTGGTTCAAGTGCGCGGCATCGTGTCTGTCTCACATCTTTTCTTTTGTAGCTGCTTTGCTTGGTGTTGAGTGTGTGTGTGTGTGATGAATGATTTTGTTTTTCTTTCATCGAGATGCTGTAAAAGAGACATCAACGGCATGGCGCCTCATTTACTCGTGTCACTTTACACGGTTTGCTCTCTTTTGTTGTTCGTGAACAACGCGAACCGAATGACAACAATGTCAGATTAAGATCTCTCATTCCGTTTGTACTTTTGTCTGTATCCCTTATATACAGTCGTCAAAATCAAAGAGTGTTTTTTTTTTCATTACAAGTAAATTTTCAGTTCACTTCCTATCATTTCTCTTTTTGCTCTCCATCTCTATCTCTCTCTCTCTCTCTCTCTCTCTCTCTCTCTCTATTCGCTTCCAATTATTTATTCATTGTTACAATACATTCTGGCATTTTCACTCTAGTATTTCACATTGGTATTGCTATTGTTATCTTATCTCACATTCGCAATCCGTTGGTACGGCATGAAATGCCATCGCGCTGTGCTCACATAGACAAAGGGAATTTGGATCGAATAAAAACAAAAAACTTCAATTCACAAGCACGAAACCCGATTCGGCTGTTATCACTTCACATCAGCATCGACATTTCGGAGTCAATTTTCGGTTTATCGCTCGAACCTTGTTGACATATTGGACAACATTTATAAAGTGGAATTGGTTTTTCTTTTGTTCTCCAACAGCGCGAAGCGCGCGCGCATGCGATTGGGCATGTGACAAAACGCCCGTTTTCTTCCCATTCCATTACTCAATTGCACCATATCGGAATCTTGTATCGGTCGCATAGAACAAAGGGTCCAACTAATAACACTACCAATAATAACAACCAAAAGGAATAGAAAAAAAAATCGATCAATTTTAAACTTTTGCTCCGTTTTTTTTCTTCTCTCTAACTTCAATTAAAATCATAATCGGCCACTTTAAATGGCGGTGCGGTAATCGCCTATGAAATGCCTATGGTGTCGAAAAAAACCCACATTTACAATGTAATTCATAGCTGCTTATAATGTAATTGTTGTTTGCGTGCACAAAAGCAATATACACCAAGGCACAGGCACACTTTTTTTCTTCTTCTTCATCTGTTGTGTTCATATTCTCTCTAGGCTCTCGCATTCGTTGTAAGCAGTCAAATTTAATATTACACTCGTTCGTTGGTTCGTTTCAATGTTCATTCTTGTTGGCAATTGATTGATTGTGTCGATTCGATGGCTCTTGTATTTCTTCTTCTCTCTTCATTTTCCATAGTTGACGTCGTTGCTGTCGATTTGAATGCATTTCAATGGAGCAGCGAGAGAAAAAAAACATGTGTAGTGTAACTAATACTCGAATTAAAGCGATTTAAAGTGGTAATTCTCGCGCTTTTTGGAGAGCGAGTGAAAAACACCGTAGGTTTTACTTGGAAAATGTTTCGGTAGCATTTTGTTTCGATTTTTTTTCTACTATTCATTTCGTCGATTTAATTAAGTATTAGAAATATTTAAATCTCATGCATTCGGCTTAAGCACCACCTTTATGCAAAATTACACTAATTACATTTTTTTTCGCGGCGTCGGATTCGATTTTTCCGTAACGAAAATGAAAAAAAGCCGCTCAAGATGAAAAATGGCCACATTTTGAAATGGATTTGGTTTTTGATTCATTAAACAAAAAACTGAACATTTTTTATTCATCTGTGATTAGGACTTCTTAGGAGTGCGGCCATTGTGATTTCCAAATGTGGCTGTTGCGATGTGAAACCCACCCATCTGCAAGACAGACAACAATTGCACATTCTCAATCGGAGACAATCGGAGATCTCTCTCTCTCTCTCTCTCTCTCTCTGAGCCGCGAATAGTTTAACATTTAAATTACATTCGTTTTATTTTGTCGAAAAAAAGTCACCGTTGTTATTTCTTCCATTGGAAACTTTTGATTTGAATCTGATATGACAGGCTGCCTCAAGGTGAATAAACCCGTAAATGCAGTGACGCTGCTGAGATGCAATAATTCATTCACTATCTCTCCTACAACTAGTCTAGCTAAATGGAACTTTGCTCTCGCGCTCGCGCGCGTTCACATTTAAACAAGTGCAATGCAGCAGACGAACTGAAAAAAAACCAACAATTATTTAATTGAATTAAATTGAATGCATTCATAATTACTGGGATTTCGATGTGAAAACGGTAACTCATTGCTTGAGACGTAGAAAAAAAAACCGTTTGTACAAACAAACTGACAATTGAAAACATTCAGTAATAAACTAGAAGGAAAAATAAAATAAACAAAACTTGCACAATGATTCATAAAAGTCAAAAACTTAATTTAGCTTTTGTTACGGTTGCAATTTGTTTTTTTCCTTGCATTTTTTCCGACCGTCTGGTTTATTAGACACTGCCACCCCTCTGACTTGAGATTTATCTTGGCAGTCTCTTGTATTTAGACAAAACAAACCGAAATTAATGGAAATCGTTTGTGCGCACAGCACACAGGCGAATGTTGAAAATTATGATTCGAACAATGGCTGCAATGAGTGATGGGAACTCTTTTCGAAATTGAAAGTGCATTATTTCGAATTCTGTAATGATGCACATCGTAAAATCGGGTGGGTGCACCCAAAATTGAACAAATGAATTCATTTGTTCATGTCAAAATGACGAATGTTTGAGGTAAGAGTTTTTTTTTCTTCCCAAATAGAAATAGACGAGGAGAGCCGACGTTAAAGGTTACTTTTCAAGAGGTATCATGGACAGTGACTGAAATAAAATCGCGTGTAGTCCATTGGAGACGCGCAAATTAGTGTGGGATCACGCAATATTTAATCATTTAGATGAAAGAAAGAAGAAAAAAAACGAACACCTCCAACACAGTAAGAAACGGCGTGAAATATAGAAAATCATAACCTAATGGATTGCAACATGAAATTGCTCCATTTTTTTTTGTTCACTCTCCCGCATTAATCTGTGGCATGGAATATTGTGCAAATGTCATTAAAAATTACTCAGTTTCAAGAACACACAAATTGTCGTCAGCGACACACCGAAAAGAGGCTCTTTCAAGTGTTTCGATCGAATATGTGAGCAGAGTAATTAACCTCAACCTCACTCTCTCGACTTCGAATTCAATCAGGCATTGCGTGTGTGTATGTGTGGCGCTCAAACTGCTCAAACAATGGACGGTTTTTATCCACTCATTTCAAGTTGTATCGTGTGCCATATGGCCGCTAGTCGACGCCTGTACCGTGTCATGTCGTGTGGTGTTGTTGCTCTTCAAATCATCAAGAAAATTACCCAAGCACTATAATGTCTGGAGGCGAATCATGTAAGTGCAATCAAAATCAAAATCAATACAAGTCAATTTTCAAGAACCTTAACTGCCTTTTGTTTAAATTGAACATGCAATTTTCAATTCTAATTCCCGTATGATTTAAACCATACCAAATGTATTGTGCTGATTTTCGCTCATTCATTATTGCTAATTCAATTCTTTTAAGGTGTTTTAATATATGGATCGAAATGAGCTACTGAAAAAGACATTTTTCATCATTAACGCATATACGCTCTGTCTCTCTAGATGATTTCCGACACAAATGCCACACATTTTTCCACCAAACAAAAGACAAATTAGTTTTAATTTGGCGCACCGACGAAAAAAAAAACAAAAAAAAACTTCAAATCGAATTTCGTGTCTCACACATTGTGGAGCCAATTTGTCATGTGCACATATAGAAAAAAATTGGCTCAGTTTGGAGTTTTTCGGCTGGTTTGATTCAAGGCTGCGTTCAATTTATAAATCACACATTAAACAGGCTGAAGTGTTTTTTTAAAGCCCATTTATTTTCACCTTTGAATGTGCAAGATTGACTTTAAAGCGCCATACATATCATTCAGACAAAGAAAAAAAAAAGCCACGCTACGACCAAAATTATTGGTTCTTATATGTCGGTTATGTTTATATGCTATTTTTCCATGAATTATTGTCGGAATTTTGTGAATAAATTTATTTGCAATTTGCTCAAGGTTCTGCCACACGAAAGAGAGAGAGAAACAACACTTGAAGCGATCACATATGCCATACGTGCACTGTTTTGTGCTTTGTTTTTTTTTTTTTTTTTGATGTGCGTATTTTGTGGTACACAAATAAAGACTTTGATCCGATTTAAGTAACAAAGACTTTGGACTGATCGATTTTTTTTAAGTTTCTATCTCTCTGCTCGATGGAGTGCACTCACAATTGAGTGCACTCCAGAAAATATGAGACCACCGCGAATGCCAGAGATGTCGAAATGACGTCGGTAATTTACATCTCGGTTATGATAAATTCATTTGTGAAAGACATACGACAATTTTTTTTTCTTTGCCCACTCGATGCCATTCTAATGATCACTTTGACTGTATGGCAATGCTAAACTGAACTTTAGCAAATATCCATTCAGCATCTCAATTGCATGCAATATTTTTTTTCCACTTCTATCTTCTATTTACATTTGACAAGACTCAAACTCTAATACATATTCAATTTGCTAAGGAGTGTTGAGTTGGCGTGCTACATTAAGACAACATGCACATTGTTTTGCCGATCGGCTTGATACGAAGGAGTAATTGTTATGTGTCATACGGCGCATATTTCATAGATTACACCCGGCCAAAAGTCAGTGATATATGCTTTCGAATACATGGCATTTTCCAAACCGATAAGATCTCTTCGCGCGTGTGTGCGCGCGCATGAAAACCATCACTCTGCCATTTCGAGTTAATCTAGGAAATTTTAGATTTACGCACGATAATCTCACGTTAAATACTGACTAAACGCTTGTGACACACACACCACAATCACGCAATGAGCGCTCCTCGCTCGTGACTTTCAATTATACATACACCAAACGGAAGCAGAAAACAATTTGACGTCAACGCGAATACCGAAAAAACACGATCGAAATAATGATCGAACGCATTTTCGGCAGCCATAAAATTGATCGTTTTAACGTTTTTTTAAACTGTCATTTATTTCCTCTGTTTGCCAGTTTTTAAATAAACAATGTGCTAATGCGATTTTCTTTTAGCCACCTTTTTTTCGACGAATAACAGTAGATCAATCGAATTTTGTTACAATTATGCACACATGAACGAAGTCAAACGCCCGTAAATTAATGATTGTTTTTTTACTCCAAATTTCGTCGCTTTTTTCATTCATGGGATCGATCGTGAGGTTTTATGATCAATTAACAAAAAAACGACTTTTTTCCATTTGGATTTCCAACAGAAAGTTTCTTCCGATTTGAGATGCGTATCGATTTCCAAAACAATTCAAAGCAATTCCATCCATTTTCAATAATCGATCGAAAATCGTGCATTTTCACCCAACTGCGCTTAATCGATGGAACACATTTTTTTTGCATATGAGTTAGTTGTTTCAGTCTTTTTGTTTTTTTACTGTTACATCAAACATGTGCCACACATGAGTCTACTGTGCTATACGAAAATCGATTATAACTAGGAATTTCATTGACTAAAAACTTAAAAAAGGAAAAGAATGTGAAAAAAACTTGGCGAAAAATTTCATTCACCCAAAAAAGTATGCGACGACAGACAAAGAAAGCGGTTGATTTGGTTGAATTGGAACAATTGATTCTCTTTTGTCTGTGCTCATTATGCAATTTTTTTTCTCTCGTATTTCCGGTTTTACGTTGTGTTACAATGAAACGATTCTTGTGATCCAATTAAATCTGCATATGACCAAAAAAAAGTATTTTAAATACGTTAATTTTTGCTATGGCACAATTGACAAATTTCTTTAATACGTAATCCGACGACGAAGAAAAATAATCAAAAGAGAAAACTCGTTAACACATATTATCCCAGGGAATTGGAGCAGCAGCAGGCAGCTAGTTGTTGTGCTGTCGGCAGCAAAAATTTTATTTTATTTTTTGGGTAATGACAAAATCGCCAAGCCAGAAAACGATATATGTCTCAATGCACGGAATAAAACCACTTGAGCATTAAAACAGTGCGCGAACGAACAACTTTCGCTTTTATCGGCAAATTGTGTGTTTCGTTGTGGTGTCAATTGTTGTCTGTGCTTGTGTACGGATGGACGATGGTTGAGATTTCGCATAAAGTGCATGTGAATCGTAGCGGAATAACCTGTAATCCAACAACCATATGATCTTGTGTGCGCGCGCGCGTGTGCGGATACATTTCACACACGCGAATGACACCCAACGCCAAAAATACGTGTCATTTTTGATGTTGTTGTGCGTCGTTCTTGATTTCTTATTTGAAACTTTGTTTCGTTATGTGGAAAAGTTTGCTCTTGTTCGCCACTTGACAATTCTGGAAATCAGGTTTTTTTGTGATAAAAAAGCGCCCTTCGAAGCATTGGATTGCAAGCCCGAGCAAACAAAAAAACCGAATCCACTAGCCACAATGAATTGGTCCGAACAACGTCGAAAAAAAACCGGCAAACCGATCGATACGAAAATTGGTTCGGCTTTTTCCAATGAGAAAAACACCTATATTAGAAACTAATTGCTGTTTTGGAATTTATTCCGCTTTTTAATCTATAATCAAAACCCAAAATGCTGCATTAAATCGGTAGCAATTTCGCAAATCTACGCAAAAAAACGCGATCAAATTATGAGAGAAAAAAAGCCGCCTGTGCAACATGAGAAAAAAAGCAAATTTTACACCTGTGGAATTTGGATATTTCCATCCGAGATTCGAACACACAACGCTGCGATCAAATGTGAACAGCATTCAACACTGTTTGCTGGTAGTGCTCATGAGTGTTTGCAACATCATTTCAACTGAACCAATTCAATTTGAAAAAAAAAATCTCTGTTGTTTACCGTGAATGAAAAACGTGCAAAGATGAAAAGAAGCCAAAAGCTGATAAAACCGACAAAAGAAAGAAAAAAAAAATTTGATTAAATTTCGTCGAGCAATGGAACAGGTTAATAATTGCAGTTGTTACGGAAACGACTGAACCAGTGAAAGATATGAATCGAAATTTACGCGTGGATTGAAAGAACGCCAAATGATGATTTCGTTGAAATGTTATCTTATGTGAGAGCTCTGAATGCCGCCTCGATTCGCCAATAAAATGCTTCATTTAAAGCGGGATCAGTCGGTTGGCGAGCGAGCGAGCGCGAGAGTGAGATGGATTATGAAATGTTCGAGCTGCCTCGGCAAAGGTGAACATTTATACACCAAATTAAATATTTAAATGATCAAATCCATTGACTGCATAGCCGAGTCGAAATTATCGTTTATAGTATGGTTGTTAGATATAGGGCTTTCGGATGATTCAATTAAATTTTCTGTTAGTTACTTCCATATTTGTGGCCTAGCTAATTATTACGATGTGAGCACAAAATCTGTTATTCATCCGCGCACCCAATCATTACATTCGGTCTGGCGAATGTGTGTATGTGCATGTGTAGCTAATATCGCACATTCCGACTCAGCATGAGCACTCTTTCGCTCACTCGCTCTCGCACTCATTCGAAATTATGATTGATTGCATAACTACGAATGCTTATTTTTATGTATATATTGACGATCAGCGAACACCCGAGCTATTGTTGTTTCGCTATTATTATCCGCATCGGGGAAGTGAATTCCGATTAATATACTTCATTCATCAACTGGGGTTTAATGTAAATCACGGCTTTCTCTCTCTCTCTCACTCTCTCTCTCACTCTCTCTCTCACTCTCTCTGATACCACTCTTGATGCTGCTGCAGCATGTTGTTGCTCATTTGAATCAATTTTTGTCCGTTCAATTTTCGAGATGCAAATCGTTTACTTCCAACATGTAAATGCGGTCATTTGTATGCGCATGACTATGTTTGGATCGACCAGACCATATATTCGCTTCGATTTAAGTGAAAATACTTGTGGAATTTTTTTTGGTTCGTTGTTGTTGTTGTTGTTGTTGAAATTTGCATTATGATTAGAACATTTACATTACAATTTCAAGTGGTTTTTTTTCGTGAATTCTTTCGAAGCATTCCGTTGAAATGGGCCGATTTCGAAACTTAATTGCATAAGTGTGCATTTGGTTCTTAATCCAGTGTGCACTCGACGAGGCAAGCGAGTATCTCTTGCTTGAACACCGATTTTACGAATAAAATCCAATTGCCATTGCGATTGTCATAATTTATAAGGGCTCTTTGTTATTTTGAGCACACGCTTTCGAGCATTTATACGGGAAAATGGTTTGTGTTAATTGAATCTTTTCCAGCATCAATTTCGTGTTTGTAGAAAAATGCATTCGAAGCCTAGACGTAAATTAAAACTTGTTTCCAATCAATGTGGTGTCAACATCAGCCGCAGATCGTTCAACTAATAATTTACAGAAAATAATTTTTGTTTTGGCTTTTTGTTCATTTTTATTTTCTGTCGAAGCATTTTTGAATTCCATTTATTTATTTTTGGAATTATCATGCGGAGCGCAGCGCATTGGGTGTGAAGATTTATTACAATTGCCACGAGCTACGGCTGCGGTTTGTCGTTCGCAAAAATGGCTCGACATACGATTTAGCGAGATCAAAAGTCACTGTTACTGTTGGCAATAAAGAAAACTGCTGCGGTTTTCATTCCATTCTCCCGTGTGTTGTTCCCGTCAACCATTTTTTTCTTCTGACATGATTTCATTCGGTAAAATAAAGGGATCGAATAGAGAGTGCAGAACAAATCATAAATATTATATTGAAACAATAAGCCGTAACGGTTCGATTTTGAATGCGCGTTCGACAAACACAAACTTATAAATAGCCAAATAAATGGAATTTCATTGCTCAATATAGAAATAATCTAGTGCACAGCGCGCCGAAATTAACAAACAATACAGAGGCAAAAGTAACAGTTTTGAGCTATTTAAATTATTTGAATATACATTAAAGTGGAGCAGTTTATAGCTTGCTGCTGCTGCTGCTGCTGCTTAGTTCAACAACAACAGTAAGAGCACCGAGTACTGACCTTCTAAACACCAATGGCTTGTCGTTGTACTTCTTTGTCAGAGCGCAACCATACAGAGAATGAAATGAAAGAGCCAAAAACCGGAGCTCGCGTGCGCGTGTGCACTCGCACTCATTCCATATGACTCACACCGATGGACGAATTGGAATTAGGTTTTTTGTTTGAAGCAACAAAAATTAAACGTACGGCTGCTGCTGCTGCTGTTGCTGCACGTAAACGTTGTCATTTTGCCACTCTTATGCGAGTAGTTAAATTTTGAAAAATTTCAAATCAGTCGGCTGTTGATTGCCTGGCTAGAAGGCATTTTTGTGCGCTTGCAAAAAGGGCCAATGACATGACAAAATACACATAGCACGAATTCAAAGCGCATTTTAAACGGTTCGGCCCGAACTGGACCGAACGAAGGAAATGTTTTGAAGAAAAGACAAAGAAATAAATATGCACAACGATAATGCTGATATACCGAGCGTCAAGTAGCGCGGCGCACAACACACAAAACACAAACCACATAGATTCATATCACACAAATGGAATGGCGTTTATGTTTAAGTTTTTGGAAAATAATTACCTTCGAGCATGTTATTTGTTTGAAGCTAGGCTAATTGTGTGCGAGAGTTGTGTGTATCTGTTCGGCTTAGGCCAAGAAATTCGATTGTTGGTGGTATTTTAACTATTTCTATCCCAATAACTGAAATTAAAGGTCAAAATATTGGAACGCACTTTGTTCGATTACCGTTTGGCCAATCTCATTTCGCTTTTGGTTTTAGAGCATTTGATCGCGCTGTGTGTATACTTTATGTAAAAGCCTACTGCATCATTTCAAACGACCCGTCCACTCTCGGCTCTCTGTAGACGAATTCAGTTGTGCTTTGCTTTGCTTCTAATTGCACCTTGGATCTGATGCAGATAAAAAGCGATTTGAATGAAAGAACAATTAACATAAAAGCAGTTTCTATGGCATAAAACATATGAGAGAGCTAACATGATAGAGAAGAATTGTGCTGCCAATGCCATTTTATAAGGAAATAAACTTTAACGTTTCGATTAACGAATGTGCTGCAATATTGACCACCATTCGCGATATATATAACATTTCTACCGCTAACCATGCGCCGCCGATTTCGCAGTTATGAAAATCGATCGCATTCTTTGTTTCTAATGTGAACTTTCAATTTCGAGAGAGAGAGAGAGAGAGAGAAATGGTTTCTGACAGACAAAAAAAACTCGAAGGCAAAGAATGAAACTCAATGGCTTTTATCGAAAAAATTGAAATTGCTGAAAATTGAGCAATGCAATTTAGTCTTAATTGAATCGACACTTAAGGAATTGATAAGAGATTTTGTTCGATTCGAATTTTTCGGGGTACAAGAGGAACAAGGTTCCTTAGCTTAGAAAACAGAAGAAAAAAACAAAGTCATGGAAAATTTTCAAAACAAATAAGAAATTTTTTGAAAAAAGGTAAAATTTAACGAAAGAAAAGCAAAATCAGTTCTCGGACTAACACATTTCTCCCACTTCAATCGAATCAAAATGAAGTCAACTAATATTTTGTCCGTGCGCTCTTGCTACCTTTGGCTTAATGAATGAATTTTTATGACATTCGCGACGGCCACTGTTGCCACTGAGCAAACAGGAAAAACGTGCAGATGGTCGAAGTGATACATGAACTAGTTGATCACAATGACATTTGACAATTTAGTCTTAAATGAAATATTTTCATACGCTTTACCACCAGCAAGATATTTCAAATATTTCCATCTTATTGTTTCGTTTTTTTTAAATTCTTTTTATTTCTTGTTCTTGATATCAGATGAAACCGATCACACATACAGCGCTGGCGATTTTTCTAATAATCGAATGCAGTTGCCTACATAATGTGCTATCGAGGAAGTTAATATCGTCAACGATACGAATGGTGAGCAGCACAGAATCGCCGTTAGCTCCAACATATAACAGTCAATTTAATTTAAATGCAACAACCAGCGAAAAAACGTGAGTGTACACATTCAAATGAGTCAATTAAATTGTATGCCAATCGGAAAATAAAATACCGTTTTTCTGTCGTTTTCTTTTTTTTCTGTCGTTTTTCTCATTTCGGATGCATGATTTATAATAGATCAACAGAGGTGAATAGTACGCCACCAAAAACGATGACTCGATTGGTAGGTGGTCACTTGCATCATTCTGTGTATCGAAAAGAGGAGAATAATTTTTCATCACAATCACCGAGTCGTTTATCAAAGCTGTACTTTAGACGAAAACCATCATGGCAAACTGTATCAACGACTGCAATGCCCACGCTGTATGGATCCACACAGCCTACGACGGCATCAAGCGTAGCTACTAAATCAATATCGACAGTATCGCCGTCACGGCTGCCGCTGACAACAACAACACCAGCTACCTCAACTAGGGACTATGTATCGACAACAAAAGAGCCGGTCTTCATAGTCGAAGCACAGAAATATGAAGATCCAGAGTACGACGCTAATCAGGTGATAAATTATGAAATTAAAAAAGAGCAATTTGTGGAATCGAGCGCCGGCGAAGGCAAAGACGATAGGAAAAAAGATGAATCGAAGAAAACGCTGTCGGATCAAGTGGCCGAGGGAAAATACGGTTTGATACAGAATGAACTATTTCAAACACCGCCGAAGCGGCCGGGTGTTTTGAGTTATGCCACCAATCCGGAGACACCCGGTGACACAGCCGATAATTTAGGTGGTTTGAGCAAAGATGAAATTTGGCTGTCCGAAGATCATTTGCTCGTTTTGAAAGGCGGTAGTTTGAATGCAGAAACTAGAGATGAACCATGGAAACCAATTGATGATTATCAAGCGCCACCACGTCAAGTCAAAATACCCGATAATCCGCGAGTGCCACCACCCTTTCTCGTGCAATTGGAGGAAAATGGGCCGATTGAGTTTATCGGAACTAATCAATTGCCGCTCGTCAATCCGTTTACGAATGAGTCGCTACTTTTATTCCCCGAAGGCGGTTTCCCGAAAACCGAAACCTACAGTGGCGATAAAACGTATCTATATGCCCGGCCCGGAGCGACTAATGATCCTAAAAATGTTAACGTACCACCCCCATCACTTGAAAATCACCGCAACAACAACTTTACGTTCACTAATCCATTCATAAGTCCCGGGCCGATACCATTTCCGCCACCACCACTGTTCGGCATGCCACCACCATTCCTGAACGGGTCATTGGATGATGCAAACTTTACCGATGGATTCGATGAAGACGATCCATCGTTTTATTATCCGCCTCCGTACAGTTTTGTGTACAAGAGTAATTATTCGAATCCAGTTGCGCCTGGACCATTAGTGCCTGGCATTATTTTACCACCACCGCCGAATTTCTTCGGTCGTTTGGAGGACAGAACGACAACAACAACAACAACAACAACAACAACCAAACCTACGACAACAAGCACACAAAGACCATACAAACAAGTGCTGCGACCGATTTACAGACCAACAACCACCACAACTACAACCACATCAACAGCTTCGTATCCATCGGCTCAAACACCAACTGCTAAAACGTTGAAAGCGCAAAAAGTACAAACGGAAGCATTCCGGCAAAATGTGTTGAATCCGACACGATTGCCAACACCCAGCACATCACAAAAACCGGTGACACAACTGAAACAGATCAATGCACAGGATATTCTGTCATTCGTACCGAAAGAGGCCATTTCGAATGATCCATTGTCGAGTAACAAAGGGAAACCGATCTATTATGAGTACTTTGACGCTCGTATCAAAGCCAATGTAAAGGGTCCCACTTATATCGTAACATCAACGGCGCCGCCACCCACCGTTCGAACTTTGAACCAGCAACAGAAACAGCAAAACACAAGAACGCAGTTGCATCCATCAGCGAAACAGCTACGACGACCATCAAACGCCTATTTGCCGATCAAGCCACCGTCTGACTACGATAAATACGTGGTCATCACTCCAAAACCAGAAAGTAAACCCATTTCATCGAACACCGTCCAAATTGGTGATAGTCAATCATACAAAACCAATTCACCGCCGAAAGCATTCAATTCGGAAATTGATAATATTCGGCACACAATTGAATTCTTCAAAAATCAACAGAAGCAACAACAGCCGGAGAGTGACTCCGGTTTGCCGCGAAATCCAAAATCAAAAGCCGTGTTTGAGTATTCATTTGATGCAAATCCACAGAAAACCAATAGTAAGTTGTTCCATCCGCCAACCGAATTTGACACATCACCATTCAAACCGATGGTCCAGTACAGTTTGCCATTGAATTCAGACCATGGTTTCAAAGCGATTACTTACACAAGTATTCCATCAGCTGCAACTGAGGCGATAACAACAACAACAACCATAGCACCGCCACCATCGTCAACACATACAAATCTTCGATACATACCAACACTGAATGAAAATGTTTCAAAGAAGCCACAAATTTCATTCATTCCATTCGATTCGGGCTCATTGCCACTGAAACCAAATTCGTTGAAAAGTTCCGAATATTCAACAGCAACACCGTTGCCAATCGTAACCACACCGTTGCCGTTTACAACCGTTCAACCGTGGATCTCGGTGGAGAAGCAAATTCTGCGTGAAGTTCGACCGAAAGAGATAAACGTTCAAATTCAATCACATTCGCCGTCATCACGTCCTCTATCGCTTTTAAGAGGCATCACAGCACCGTATGAATCGTCTTATGTCGATGCAAATGCAAACGATGGCCGATACCATCAACAAATTTATTATCCAATTCAAACACCGTCCACATACTACCAACAACAGCCGCCGCGTCCTGTAATGACAGCACAACAGAATGCCTATCTGCGACAAATCGAAGTAATCAGACAACAATTACAGCAATTTCCAAATCAATACCATTATAATGCCGCTAATTATACGGTTCCAAGTCAAAATTATCGCATTCCACCACAACGGCCGCTACCAGCGGCTCCTCCAAACAATTTTCTCACATCTTATCACGTCGATGCCAATCGATATCCCCATTTATCACAGATTTTATCACCAAATTACAATATTCCACCGCAACCACAACCGCAACGAATACCACATGCGATCCATCCATTGCATCGTGATGTTTTAGTCAACTACAAATATCCGTTGCCACCAATTAATCCGGATAGTGAATTTTTGCCACCCCCGCATTTATTACACCCATTGCCGCCTGCGTTGCCATCCACACACTCACCGTTCAATCGATACGGTCGACTCATTCGCAAACCACCAACAGTTGTGCAATACAAATTGCCAGGCGACGAACACGCCGGTGTCTTCTTTTTAACACCGGCCGAAGATAAATTAGGAACGTCAAACAAAAAGTAGAACTTTTGAGTTTGTCAATAACAAATTCCTGATTTTTTTTTAAATACATATCGTGATATTTGTGATGTTTGAGCTCGTGAAGTTTTATTTCTTCTAAAACTCGAAAATGACTTGCATGGATTGGATATTTGTTTATTTTTTTCAATCAAACATCTGATTGCCTTCGCCGACAGTAGAGTCTGATACAACAATATAGGCTTTGTGTGCTTCGCAATGAAATCTTACAAAACACTATATAATAATAATCAATAGTCAAACCCCATAGTGAATAGCTAAGCTAGGCCTTAAATCGTATTTTATAAACTACACAAACACAATATTAATCAAATACAAAAAAAATTAGATCTTTTTTTTAGACCGAACAAAAAAAAAATACATCCAATTTCAATTTAAGTGATTAATTTTATGAATGAAACATATTTTAAGCTATTTATTTGCCTGTCTTTTATCATTTGAAACAAAAAACGAGAAGGAAATTAATCGATTTGAAGGAATTTATTTTGATGTTTTTAAACAATTTTGTGTTTGATGTCCGCTAAATAATTTCACATATGCTAATTGTTGAGCTTTGCCACACAAACACACACACACACACACACACACGCAGAGCACGAATTTAGATGAAATTGCACCAGCAAAACATCCATTTTTAATTGCAGTTAAATGTGATTTAATTTAGATTTTTATTAGATTTTTGCTTCGTTTTTTTGTGTGTGTGTAGTTTGGCTTTTATATGTGTGTGAATGTGCTGTGTGCATGTGTGATTGAATACAATGGGAACAATAAATGAATAATGCATGATGGGGCGTGACAGTATTTTTTTTTTAAATTTTAGCCAGAGACTGTGCAATTTTCAATTGTGCATTTGTTAGTTTTGGTATTCAAATTACTAATTATGATAAGAAAATTCGCCATAAGATTGTAATTCCATGAAATCAAAAATATGTAAATAAAAATGCAAACGGAAATTTATTGAGAAAAATGATTGACGGTGTTTGAGATGAAATGAATTGTGTAAAATGAATGAGATTGGTTTGCAAATCAAAGTGAAAATGAACGGTAAGTGATCAGATTCGAATCATCAAGTATCAAATCACACGAATTTACGGCGTTATTCAGCACAAACAAGTGAGTAAATCTGCTGAATTTGGCAGAAAACGCCTGTAAGTATGCTAACTTATTGATTTAACTGCCGTCAATACTTCGAAAGGCCACGAAAAAAGTATTCTATATTTTTATATCGATCAAAACTTGCAATCAGTCAGTGCTTTTTCTGAGAATTTGAAATCAAGACGATGTGCACTCCTGCTGAGTGTTTATGGACAAACTGAAGTGGCACTACAATGCAAGCGATTCAATGTAAACAACATTCTCGAAAAACAATTGAATGAACAAATCAAACGTTTGATGAATGAATAGATAAATCAGCATATGTGGTGTATAAAAGAAGTACCAAATTCACATTGAATTCATTTCTAATTTGTGCGTCTCCACGAAAAGTTAGAATGAAGTGTTTCAGTTTCTTTGTTTTAGGTTTTTTGTTTCTAAGCCTCGTTCATTCGAGTACATCATTCGTAAGTAATAACAATTTTGCGATGTATTTATAAAACAAAAATTGATCGAAAAAAAAGATGTAAACACACAAAAAATAAACATCTGCAGTTTAGCGAAATTTTAGCTAAAGACGCATTCAGGTGGTATTTTTGTTAGTAAGTGAAATCCGGATGGAATTTCGCTAATATTCTAAAACTTGTTGAAATAGCAAAACAATTCTTCAATATGGTTACATCAATCATTGTCATTTAAATGTTGTCTTCTATATAGAACAAAAGAACAATTTATGATTTCTTGTTCTATAGCTGAGACGGAAAAAAAACTTAGAGCAAAAAAGCGACAAATAAAGTTGCGACCAAAAGTGACAGAACTCAGCATTGAGCAGAAAAGACGTTTTTTGCATTTTTCTCGCTACTGAGAAGAGATAGCGACTCGGTGTCTTCAACTTATTTGCAGTTCTTTTCATGCTCAAATAAAGGATGAAGCTTAGGCAGAGTGCTTGGTGATAAATGGAAAATAATCGAAACGGAGTTTGAAATTCAGCTTGAGCAATGTGCAAACACTGAATAAAACATTATAACTGATTGACGTTCTCATTATAAGTTTCCAGCATGTAAATGTCCAACCTTCAAATCGACCTTTTGATAATAAAAATTATCAAGCTAATTGACTATCTTTCAAAATAAATCGAAGAAATTTGACTCAATTTTTGCAAGTGTTTACAGCAAATTGATATCATTTGTACTTATATTCGTCTGATCAGACCAACCAATTTTGATATCAAGTAATTATAAACAGAAGACAAGCTATTTTTATGCCTGGATATTGAGCACTTGTAATTATCTTTTATCACCACTCAAAAGTTTCATGCCTACAAATAATCAAAGTTTTAAATACGATAACCCGAAGTGTGCATTTCAATAGTTTGTTCCTTCTCAGTAGGTAATTTTCATTGAATATTTCTGTCTTGTTCACGTTTCTCAATTGGATTTGATCTTGTTTCTTCATTGATAAGGGAAACAAAACAGAAAGCTTCATTTATCGACTGATAATTGTTGATCCGGAGAAAATGAGACATTGAAATTACGGTTTCATTCTCATGGAAATTTTCAAGTTCAATAAGAGAATTGAATCGGTGAGAATAATCTTGTCCTGCCAAATTGATTGAAAATAAATGTGAAACATAGAGTTTTTTTTATATAGAGTTGTTGTTGTAAAGTCCATATAAAAAAACTCTAGGTTTCACATTTATTTTCACTCAATTTGGCAGGTCAAGATTATTCTTACCGATTCAATTGTCAATTTGAGCACTTTAACCCTTTATCACGTATTGGTTTCTAAAGTAACCGGATACAGCAAACGCTATAGCTAGTAAACCACTGAATATTTTTGCATTCTTGTTTGGAAACAAATGTAGAGAATTGAACTAGCTTACATTTGAGGGGCTCAGAGGAAAAATGTTACGTAGAAAAGTTCCGCGGAAAAATATTCGGGAGCTAAATGATATCATTTAGCGGAGCTAAATGATATCATTTAGCGGAGCTAAATCGACAAATAGCCTAATTATCATGAAAGCATTCTTTAGCACACCTAAATGGTATCATTTAGCTTTAGCAGAGCTAATACCATTTAGCTCCCGAATATTTTTCCGCGGAACTTTTCTACGTAACATTTTCCCTCTGAGCCCCTCATTTGATACCTTACCGGTCAATTGGTTAGCTGAATGGAAAGTTTTTTCTGTTCATGTACTGCTGTAAAAAAAATGCGAAATTATAGCAGAATTTCAAATTTTTCATCCTCTCATCTTGTGGGTTTCTACATTATTTTCAATTGTCAAATTAGGACTCGTAGGACCAAAACTTCAACTTTCTGCATCATTAGTTTTATGAAATTCAATTTTTTCAGGCTATTATAACGATTCGACACTTTTGACTCTTTTCCGATTTTCTCGACTCATACGCAATTTTTCAAAAATCTAAGTACATATGAGGTATTTCTCTATTTATCGTCGCACAAAACATATATCAAAATGATTCAAAAATAAAAAATTGAGCATTAAAGGGTTAAGCAGACAATGAAACAATGCAATGATTCAATGTGTTTGAATTGGTTGATGCGATTATTATGGCACATAGAATATTTATCTCATTCGATCTACGGTCCAT